GGTGTCATCTGTACGCAGATGATGTCCAACTCTGTCACTCCTTTCCACCTGCTACTAAGGAGGCTGTCGAGGTCCTGAACCGGTGCCTGGCCGCTGTAAGGGTCTGGATGAGGGCGAACAAACTGAAATTAAATCCAGACAAGACAGAGGTACTCCTGGTCAGTCGCAAGGCCGAACAGGGTATAGGGTTACAGCCTGTGCTGGATGGGGTTGCACTCCCCTTGAAGGCGCAGGTTCGCAGCTTGGGTGTGATCCTGGATTCATCGTTGAGCCTGGATCCCCAGGTTTCAGCGGTGACCAGGGGAGCATTTGCACAGCTCAGGCTCGTGCGCCAGCTGCGCCCGTACCTCGGGAAGTCTGACTTGGCCACGGTAGTACACGCTCTGGTCACATCCCGCCTTGACTACTGCAACGCTCTCTACATGGGGCTGCCCTTGAAGACGGCCCGGAAGCTTCAGCTAGTCCAGCGCGCGGCAGCCATGTTACTAACAGGAGCGGGACGCAGGGAGCACACAACGCCCTTGTTGTTCCAGCTCCACTGGCTGCCGATCTGCTACCGGGCCCAATTCAAGGTGCTGGTGTTGGCCTACAAAGCCCTAAACGGTTCCGGCCCAAAATACCTTTCTGACCGCATCTCGGCCTATGAGCCCACGAGGACCTTGAGATCGTCTGGGGAGGCCCTTCTCTCGATCCCGCCTGCCTCACAGGCACGCCTGGCGGGGACGAGGGATAGGGCCTTCTCGGTGGTGGCCCCCCGGCTGTGGAACGCCCTCCCTGTAGACATCAGACAGGCGCCCTCCCTTATGACATTCCGCAAAAGACTAAAGACATGGTTATTTGAGAAGGCGTTTGACTAAGTGCTACAACAATTGGCAATGATGACTGGAACGGAATATGGATAACGAGATTGGTTTATGATTCTACGATGAGACGGCGCGGATGATTTAGTGTAATTGTATTGCTGATAGTTATGTTGATATTATTGTTGTGATATCCCCTTATTGTAAACTGTTTTTATATGTTGTACACCGCCGTGAGTCGCCCTAGGGCTGAGAACGGCGGTCAACAAATGCAGTAAATAAATAAAAAATAAACAAATAGGATCAGATCCTAGATTATCTGTTTTGATAATCTGGATTATATGTCAGAGTAAAAGGGCCCTTAGTCTTTAGCCTTCTTTGCTAAAGAATGCAGATGCCTCACTGAATGACAGTCCCTAGAAACCCATAGCATTGAACCATAGCAGTCAAAGTGGTATTAAACTGCATTCATTCTACAGTGCAGAATGCAGTGAGTAGGAGCACAAGGAGGATAAGGTGGGGAAAAAAGAAAAAGGACTTCTGTGTCTGGTGTTTGCGCAGCTCCAAGTTGGGCAGAAAATTATAGTTCTGTCAGCTGCAGTGTTCGCCAGAGATTGCATGGTAGTCAGCAAGGGAGTGTTAGGGCTGTTCTCCATGTCACAACAAACACATGTAAAATTGGACAAGGAGAACACATGATTTGAATCTGTGGGTGTCTTGCTATTTGTGAGCATTTGATATATTTATTCTCTACTGCTGAACATTTGTTCATCTGCAGTTGAATATGGAAAATCAGTGGTTACTAGTCATGGTGGCTAGTGACTACATAATACCTCCAGGATCAAAGGCAACTTGCTGGGAAACAAGAGCTGGAGAGTTTTGCTCTCTGTCCTGAGTGTGTGGGCTTCCCAGATGCATCCACTTCGTTGGCCAAGGTGGAAGACAATGCCAGACTAGATAGACTTTTGGCACAGAACTCTTTATTACTCTCATATTTGGAGAAAAAGTATACAGGGTTAGTCAAAATGAATAGGCCAATAAGAAAATTAATTTTAGACGAATGTATGTTTACTGTAACCAAACCACAGCTACGTAGCGACAGATAAACTATCAAAGTTTTTTTTTGAGCAACACACATGTACGTTAATGCCGCTAGGCGTCGCTAGGGGTCGCTGTTTTCAAAATGGCGGAATCAAGCAAAGAGAAGGCGTTTTGTGTGATGACATTTGCTAAAACAATGTCAGTAATTACGGTCCAGCGAGAATTTCAAGGGTTAGGGTTAGGGTTAGGGATAGGGTTAGGGATAGGGTTAGGGTTAGGGATAGGGTTAGGGTTAGGGATAGGGTTAGGGTTAGGACCTCAACGAACACCTTCCCAGACGTTGCTGCATTCGATGCCATTACGTCGGATGTGCTGCAACGGATGTGGAATGAACTGGACTATCGCTTGGACATCTGCCGTGTCACACGGGGCGCCCATATCGAACATCTCTGAAGGTGAGACAAAACTTTGATAGTTTATCTGTCGCTACGTAGCTGTAGTTTGGTTACAATAAACATACATTCGTCTAAAATTAATTTTCTTATTGGCCTATTCATTTTGACTAACCCTGTATATTGGCCACACAATACCAGGATTTTGTAAACTGTTGTCTGGGGGTGATCTGTCTGTTGTTGTTTATTTGTTCAGTCACTTCCGACTCTTCGTGACCTCATGGGCCAGCCCACACCAGAGCTCCCTGTTGGCCATCTCCACCTCCAGCTCCTTCAAGGTCAAGCCAGTCACTTCAAGGATACCATCCATCCAATATTCCTCCAATTCCACAATTCAAAAGTGTTTATCTTCCTTCGCTCAGCCTTCCTTATGATCCAGCTCTCGCATCCATAGGTTACTATGGGGAATACCATTGCTTTAACCATGCGGATCAACATTGCCAGTGTGATGTCTCCACTCTTCATTGTTTGATCGAGATTGGTCATTGCTCTCCTCCCAAGAAGTAAATGACTTCTGATTTCCTGGATGTAGTCTGCATCTGCAGTAATCTTCACTCCTAGAAATACAAAGTCTGTCACTGCCTCCACGTTTTCTTCCTCTATTTGCCAGTTATCAATCAATCTGGTTGCCATCATCCTTCCTTCCAGTGAGGTACAAAACTATAAAAAACAATGCAAGAATGGGAGAGCAACCCTCTCAAAAGATGAGGCCATGTTTATTCTTTATAATCTTCTTCATCTCATCACACTCTAAGACATGTTTCTTTCATAGATATAGTTGGTTGGGTGCCTTTGAGTAATTTCCAATTTAAAATGGCCCTAAAATGGCAGTGTTATAGCATTTTAATAATTGGTAGCCATACTGTGGCATAAACATTCCTGGATTATAATGCACTTGGATTAGATCAGCGTTTTTCAACCTGGGGGTTGGGACCACTGGGGGAGGGTTCGCATGGGGAGTGTTAGAGGGGTCTCCAAAGACATCAGAAAACACAGTATTTTTTCTTGGTCATGGTGATTCTGTGTGGGAAGTTTGACCCAATTCTATTGTTGTTGGGGTTCAGAATACTCTTTGATTGTAGGTGAACTATAAGTTCCAGCAACTATAACCCCCAAATGTCAAGGTCTGTTTTCCCCAAATTCCACCAGTGTTCACATTTGGGCATATTTAATATTCGTAACATGTTTGGCCTAAATTCATCATTGGTTTGGTCCACAGTGCTCTCTGGATGTAGGTAAAGTTGTTGTTGTTGATTTGTTGTCGCTTTCGACTCTTCATGACCTCATGGACGAGGTGTAGGCGAACTACAACTCCAAAACTGAAGGTCAATGCCCACCAAACCCCTTCAGTATTTTCTGTTGATCATAGGAGTTCTGTATGCCAAATTTGGTTCAATTCCATCGTTGGTAGGGTTCAGAATGCTTTTTGCTTGCAGGTGAACTATAAATCCCAGCAACTACAACTCAAATGACAAAATCATTTGTGGACAACAAGTTAAACATGAGCCAACAATGTGATGTGGCGGCAAAAAAAGCCAATGGGATTTTGGTCTGCATCAATAGGAGCATAGTGTCTAGATCTAGGGAAGTAATGCTACCCCTCTATTCCGCTTTGGTTAGACCACACCTGGAATATTGTGCCCCATTCTGGGCACCACAATTGAAGAGAGATATTGACAAGCTGGAATGTGTCCAGAGGAGGGACTAAAATGATCAAGGGTCTGGAGAACAAGCCCTATGAGGAGCGGCTTAAGGAGCTGGGCATGTTTAGCCTGAAGAAGAGAAGGCTGAGAGGAGATATGATAGCCATGTATAATTATGTGAGAGGAAACCACAGGGAGGAGGGAGCAAGCTTGTTTTCTGCTTCCTTGGAGACTAGGACGCGGAACAATGGCTTCAAACTACAAGAGAGGCGATTCCATCTGAACATGAGGAAGAACTTCCTGACTGTGAGAGCCGTTCAGCAGTGGAACTCTCTGCCCCGAGTGTGGTGGAGGCTCCTTCTTTGGAAGCTTTTAAACAGAGGCTGGATGGCCATCTGTCAGGGGTGATTTGAATGCAACATTCCTGCTTCTTGGCAGGGGGTTGGACTGGATGGCCCATGAGGTCTCTCCTAACTCTTTGATTCTATGATTCTATGATCAACCCTCCCAACCCCACCAGTATTCAAATTTGGGCGTATCAGGTGATTTGAGCCAAATCTGGTCCAGTGAATAAAAATACATCCTGCATATTAGATATATACATTACAATTCATAACAGTAGCAAAATTGCAGTTATGAAGTAGGAACAAAAATAATTTTACGGTTGGGGGTCACCACAACATGAGGAATTGTATTAAGGGGTCGTGGCATTAGGAAAGTTGAGAACCACTGGATTAGATTTATAAAGGGAGTTAAAACAACCTCACACGTGCACCACCACCACCACCATTGAGACAGATGCACAGGGGCCCTGTGCATTGATGTGCAAATCTAAAGCTCCTTCCCTATTTGGAGGTCCCAGGGAAAGCAGATTCCCTCTTTTCTTCCCTTTCCCCAAAGCAGGGAAATAAATCATGGGGAAAAAAGCATAGAGACTGGCAGAGGCACAAGCCTTTCCCCATTCACCGGCCTCCTTCCAGAAACGTGGCTATGCCAAAGTCGGGGAGGGAGCTTCTACCCGATGCCAGAGGCCCGCTTTGGGCTTCTTTGGGCCCCCTCGGTGGCTCCCTTGACTGTACCTCCGCGTCCCCTTCCCCCTCCCCGCGATGGGCCGCACATGCGCACAACGCCGGGGGCTTGCAGAGTGACGTCAGCCTGCCCAAAACCCTCCCAGGCCAAAATAGTCCGCTCCTCCTGCAGCTCCAAACTTGGCTGGAGGCCGGTAGTGAGGAGGAGAAGAGAGCTCCAGAGCTGCTGCTGCTGCTTGCTGCTGCTGCTACTTCTTCCACACCACTTTTCCCTCTCCCTCCAGCCTTCTTTCCTGCTCCCCCTTTCTCCCTCTTCTTTCCCCCTTTTCCCTGGTGATGATACTCACATGATAACTGCACTCCAAGGGGGTAGCCAAGAAGGAAAAAAAAAAAAGAAAGAAAAGAAACCCAAATTCAAAGCAAGTCTTTTCCCCTCCTCTTCCTTCCCTTTCTACCCCTTTCCCTTCTCCCTCTCCACTTTTCTGGGTTGTAAAAAGACAAAAATATCCAGGGCATGAACGGATGGCATCCCCTTGGCTGCCCAGCCAGTCCCTTTCCACGGCTTCCCCTATTTAAGAAGTGGTTCATAGAGGAATTTATTCTGCTCTAGAATATAACTGGCCTGGCTTTCCAAGGAAGGGGAAAAATCAGAGAGAGAGAGAGAAAGGAGTACGGGAACCTTCCCGGGCAATTGCTATTGTCTGAAACTCCCTTTATAGCCAAATATATTGAAGATGAAAACGGTAAGGAAAGAACTTTTCACCGATTCTTTTGCCTTGCTGTGATTTTTCGTGTCAGATGTGGAATGGGCGGCGGTGGCGCTTTCTAATGCAAAAGGCGAATTTTGGACTATTTTGCAGAGAAACCTTTGCATTTGGGGGGATTAAACTGTAATGGGGGAGGACAATGGGGTGGCGGGGATTTTCTGTGGCAGCTGGCTTTCTGAAGTGTGAGAAGCTTAAGGGTTTGAAAACGGAGCCAAAATTGGCAAGGAAAAAAAATGCACAAGGGTTTTGAGGATTGTGTGTAATCTGTTTTTCAAAATGCATTGACCTTGCTTCCAATATTGCAAGCCCATTATGTGGTGGTGGTTGTGACGACGGCACACCAGTTGCTACACAAACGAAGGAGACAAGTGCATACTTATAGAAAAAAAGTGATAGGGATTTGATAGTGCATCTACACTGCAGAATTAAGGCATCTTGACACCCCTTTGGGGAGTTTGGTGAAGCACCAGCAGCACTCCTTGCCAGAGAAGGGAAAGAACTTGTGAAAGCACGAATCCCAGGATTCCCATAGCATTTAAACAATGACAGAGAAAGTAGTGTCAAACTGCATTAATTCTATAGTGTAGAGGCACTCCCAGCTGCTCACCTGAAGGAAAGACAGACATTAAACTCTTTTCAGGGGCTAAATGGGTTGGCTGGCAAAAGAGAGTGGCTCTGATTTCCCCCCAGGGTACACAAACACTGTAGAATTAACATAGTTTGACACCAGTTGAACTGCTTTAGTTCAATGCTGTGGAATCCTGGGAGTTGTAGTTTTGTAAGGCACCAGCATTCTTTGGCAAGGAAGGCTAAAGACCATGTAGAACCACAATTCCCAGAATTCCATAGTGCTAATCACACTAGATAATGAATCTGGTTTCTGCCTCCTGCAGAATTCTGGGGTTTGTAGTTTAGTGAGGCTGTTAAAAGCTCCTCCCTAAACTACAAACCCCAAAATTTTGCAGGGGGCAGCAATCACATTTAAAGTGGATTTATTTTCTACTGTGATGAGGTCAAAAGTAGTGTCCAGTTGCATTCATTCTGCTGTGCAGATGCACCCCCAGAGAATGAGGGATTTGATAGGCTTGTCACCTTCGCAGAGCCTTTTGAAGGGATATGTGTCAGTTCCTGGGCTGTTTGTCAGAAAGGATATGATTTTTGAGGGCATCTACACTGTAGGAATAATGCAGTTTGACACCACTTTAACTGCCCTGGCTCAATGTTATGGCATCCTGGGAGGAGTTTGGTGAGACACCAGCACTCTTTGGAAGATAAGTTTAAAGACTTTGTAAAACTACAACTGCCAGGATTCCATAGTACTGAGCCATGGGTGACAGTCTACATAAATTCTACAGTGGAGGTGCACCCCTGGAAGTGGGAGGGAGGAAAGCAGCTGAAAGAGGGCTCCCTGCTCTCAGTGTGTGTGCTCAGTCCCTTGCCTCTGCTGGTTCCTTTTCATTGTTGCAGGAGAGGGGAAGAAAGGCAAGTCAGTCCCAGACTCTGTTTTTATTTGGACTGCCTTTGCAATGCATTTGGGCCTCATGCCAAATGTCTGGGTCACACGCGTTTTATCCAAATAGATTGAGCGCTGCTGTCTGGAAATGGGCTGCTGGATGTTCACTTGAGGATCAGCTCCCCCAAGAACTCAGCTACTCGACTTCTTCCCTCCGGTTGGGAAATGGAGGGTTTTTTGTTCTTTAAAGAAGGGAGTAGGGTGGGGAAAGATATAAAATGTTCTTTCGTACTCAGAGGAAGTTTGTGTACGTGTAAGGGGGTGATTTGGTTGGAAAAGCCTTTATAAAAAAGTAGTCTGGGCTGGCTTGCAGCAGTAAAAAAAAAAAAAAGACAACCGATCCCTTAGCAAGTGGCGAAAGGGAGAAAAGAGGAGAAGGGCCCACAGTTTTACAGATAACTGGAGTTTTTTTGTCTCTCCCCCAACTCCCCTCCTTCACCACCCAGGTCGCAGTTGATCTGGCCAGTAGCACTCAGACAGAGAGAAAGTTTATTAATGTGCTTTGGGGGGGGGGGGGGCTTCATAGGAAAGTTGCTGCAAAATCCTTTGTGTAGTAGGCATGCCGACTTGGGAGTAATCCCACTGAACTCAAGGGAACCTTCCAACTAACATGCAGCGTGCTGTAATAACCTTCTCTTTTCTCTTGTGCTATATTAGCCAAATCTTAAAAAGGATGGGAAAGAGGGAGGACTTCCAACAATCCCTGCATTCTTCAAGTCTTCATTTTGAAGCTGGTTTTGAAAGGTAGCCTGCCCTTTTGATAAGCCCTATGAATGAAGTGGATGGTGTCTTTGGAATGTTCTGTAGCAACCTTACCATGGGAACTGCAACTCCCATTATTCCATAGCATTGAGCAACTGCAAGGTAGCCTTGTGTATTTTAAAAGCCCACAGGTCTTTCGGAAGACTGCACCACAGACTGTGATGTGGTTAAACTGCAGGATTATAGCAACGTGGATGAGGCAAGTGTCTCCAGCCCTCAGGACAGGTTTCAGGAATACATAATTATAGAAATCAAGGGCATTCAGGTACATGGAATTAATGGCTGAGGCATAGGATAAGGATCATGGTGTCTGCAAGTAGTAGTTACAGTAGATGCAATTTTCTACCATCTCATAAATAGCAAACCACCAGTGTGACTGCACTGGGACTTAGGGGGACATCTACACTGTAGAATTAATGTGGTCAACACCTCTTTAACTGCCAATGCTCAATGCTGTGGAATTTAGGGGTTTGTAGTTTTATGCCTCAACAAACTACAAATGCCAGATTTCTTGAGCTGGATAGTAAAGTGCTATCAATTCTGCAGTGTGGAATATACAATGGGTGCTGTAAGGGGAGAGAAGCCAAGCGAGCAAGCAGCAAATCATCTGGGCTTCTTTATAGGTGACATTTTCTTTTGCTTTGGTTTCAGCCTGGTTGAGTCAATCAGTTTCTCTCATCCACACCCCCAAAATAAATCCCAGGATACGCGAGATGTATCAGCAGGCATTTGCTGAGTGAGATACAGATGCAGCTATGGCACGAGAGAGAGGCAATGAATATCTCAGCAAAGGTTGCTCGCAGGGTGATGAATAGTGAGGAAGTTGGAGAATGAATGGCGGGATATGTGTGTGTGGGTATTTATGGGGAAGCTAATTGGTTGTATTTCTCTGATGCTGCTTTTGGAGATAGTCCCAGCACTGGTGGTATTGGTGTGTGGTAACTTCCTTGTGGGCACTGTTGGATTGCTAGTTGGTAGTGAAGGAAGAGGAGTCACTGGCAGAGGCTGTTACTTTTACATGTTCTCATGAAGACTTCTGCAGTAGAAAGCCCCAAGGCTGGGGGTGATGGCTAAGTGGATTGAAAGGGCCCCAAAGGCCACAGTTCAGGTCCCCAAAACCTTTGAGCCACAGTTCAAGTCCCCCAAAACCTTGTTTTCTAGGTTGTGGGATTTCTGCTCATGTCCAGAGTGCCTTCCTTTCACCATGGAATGCCACCCTCCTTTTTTTCTCTTTCTCAATGCCACATTCAAGATTAACCATTAAGTAGTTGTAATCCAAGGCAGTCACACAATACTTTCCTTCATCAGGGAAATGTCAGGAAAGATTATATAAGAAATCAAAATAACTCTGGGAGCAAGGAGAAGAAAAAGTAGGGAATTATATTTTACACCTAAATCTTCATCTACTGAGATAGATATAGTAAAAGTCATGCAAACATAAATGGATTATGTATTGTCGAAGGCTTTCATGGCTGGAATCACTAGGTTCTTGTGGGTTTTTTCGGGCTATAGAGCCATGTTCTAGAGGCATTTCTCCTGACGTTTCGCCTGCATCTATGGCAAGCATCCTCAGAGGTTGTGAGGTCTGTTGGAAGTAGGAAATGGGTTTATATATCTGTGGAATGGCTGGGGTGGGGCAAGGAGCTCTTCCCTGCTGCAGTTAGGTGTGAATGTTTAGCTGATCACCTTCATTAGCATTTGAAGGCCTGCCTGAGCCTGGGAAAATCTGTTGCTGGGAGGTGTTAATCTGTGCCTGGTTTTTTCCTCTCTGTTGTTTAGCTGTTATGATTTTAGAGTTTTTTAATACTGGTAGCCAGATTTTGTTCATTTTCATGGTCTCTTCCTTTCTGTTGAAATTGTCCACATGCTTGTGGATTTCAATGGCTTCTCTGTGTAGTCTGACATGGTGGTTGTTGGTGTGGTCCAGCATTTCGGTGTTCTCAAATAATATGCTGTGTCCAGGCTGGTTCATCAGGTGCTCTGCTATGGCTGACTTCTCTGGTTGAAGTAGTCTGCAGTGCCTTTCATGTTCCTTGATGCGTGTCTGGGCGCTGCGTTTGGTGGTCCCTATGTAGACTTGTCCACAGCTGCATGGTATACGGTAGACTCCTGCAGAAGTGAGAGGATCCCTCATGCAGCTGTGGACAAGTCTACATAGGGACCACCAAACACTGCATTGCCATAACATGAATCAAGGAACATGAAAGGCACTGCAGACTACTTCAACCAGAGAAGTCAGCCATAGCAGAGCACCTGATGAACCAGCCTGGACACAGCATATTATCTGAGAACACAGAAATGCTGGACCACACCAACAACCACCATGTCAGACGAAAAAACCCACAAGAACCTAATAATTGGATTACCTTCACTAGACGCAGAATACATCCAGGAATACAGGGCATAGCCATGATCCAATCATTGTTAAAAATATAACAATGTTTATGTTGTTGTAAATATTGTTTTATATCACAATCCTGCCACCAGTTGTTTCCAGAGTACAGGACAAGCCTCACAGGCTGACTGGACTCTGGTTTTTCCTTGTTGGAAAGGACTGGACAACCAAGCAGTGCCAGACAGACAGCCAAACCTTTCCAATGCTGCAGAAGAAATGAAGAATATCACAATCCTCTTTTTTGGCTTTGGCCACTGCAAGGCTTCTAAAATAGCTATCCTCCCCAAGAAGGAAACTGAGGTGAAT